GTTTTGTCATGTTAGATACAACTGGAAATGACATGCGCTTATATCATGTGAAAGTGTTGCATGTGAAATCAAAAGCTATATGATTTGTTAAATATGATTAAAAAGAATCATGTTTACACAATACCTCTGAAACATCTTTACCATCACATCACTATTGAAGTGAGTCAAAGATCACAAAAAGAAAATCAAAAGGTGTGGAGATGCCGGGGATTGAACCCGGGGCCTCATACATGCAAAGCATGCGCTCTACCACTGAGCTACATCCCCTACTTGAAGCAGGTGGAATGAAGAACTGGTTTTATTGCTTAGATTGCGCAACAAAAATAGTGAGCCATTGGAGGACTTGTAAGGAGAGACGAGAGTTCATTTGGATATTTTTGTTCTGACTGGAGCAACGTTATGTAATTTATGGTTGCAACTTCAGCATGATATAATACACTCAACTTTTGACCCGGCCAACAAAAGGTCTACTGTAATTTTCTCTGTGTGTGTACGTGTGTGTATGTTTGTGTACTTTAAGACATTTTTTAATGGGTTAAATCCCCAAGGGGCTCCAGCTCAAGACATTCTGAGCTACTTTTAGTTTGAGTTAGTTGGATAATTTACGTCATTGTGAATGAATGGAAAATAAGCTGTTGTATTTGTAGCTCAGTTTTCATTGATTTAATCCTTGCTCTGTGCTATTTTTAGTCTACAGGTCATGTTGTGGTTTCAGTTAGGGGACACAGCTGAGGAAGGGGCTCCTCTCCTTCCCACTTAACTTGGAGGGAGAGGAAACCTTTTACTGGGGATGTGGACCAAGGTCATAAAAGAATGAGAGAATATATATGAGCACAATATTTCAGACAGACAAAAGAGGCCCAAACTTCCTCTTCAGCCAATATACCTTAATCCTTTTCAGAATTTAAAAATAGCCTCCCTCGTTCAGTTTTATAATATCCTCCAGGGCAGCCTGAATTAGGGTCTGTCGTCCCCCTCTGGAGAGCACGGCATGTCCTCTCTCATGCTGTGTTTATCAGCACACTCTTGCCAAGGACACCACTTTCAGGCCCTGTTTGCTTAAGCCTTCTAGGGACAGACCCATGGGATGCACGCATGGCATGAAGTCTTTAATAGGGATGAAGAAAGGAACAAGAAAGAAGGAAGTAGAGAACACCTTCTCAGCGTCTGCTCTGCCTCTGTCTGCAGAAGGAAATGCACCAGCCTGCAGAGGGGTCCCCCAGGAAGAGGGAGGGACGCTGGTTTCTATCTGTGTTGTTATTGTTGTGTGGATTTGGATTGGTGACAGGAACCCACATGTTGAGTCTGTGCTGAGTAAGGAATAGTTGACAAGCATGTGGAGGGGGGTTACTTAGGGGCTGTAGACTACTGGTGGGGGAAGGATGTACAGACAGGCTGTATGCAATATGAGATGCAGGAAGAAATTCTTTATCTGAGGCCACAGACGTTTCAGTGGACAGTGCCAAATGGGAGTGACAAGGGTAGAAATAAGTAAATATACCAAAGCTAATGACATTTTAACACTGTCTATATGAGTATGAACTGCAAAATATACAGAGTATAAATATGAAATTACTTGTTGAAATGGCCACTTGGAGAGATAATTATTTATTGCATTATTAAATCAATAATACTGATGCATTTCTATGGTTGAGCTTGGGCTAGCTTTTACAACTTCATATACCATGCCTTTGGGAATTTTTATTTGAAGATTATGTTCTCAACTCATGTTCATCAATTGGTTTAGAAAATGTCTACAAAAATGACCAAGAACCATCTTGCAATTTCCCTAAAAAACAAGTTGATGTCCAACCAACAGTCCAAAGTCCCAACAATATTGAATTTTCCCATCAAAGAACCAAGCAAAGCAGCCAATCGTCAAAATTGAGAGGCTGAAACCAGTTTTTGTTTTTTTCTTAAAATGTGTCTTAATGTGGTTAATCGATTATGGAAATAGTAACCTATACATTTTGTGTCAATTCACTTATTGATAAACTACCAATCGCTTTGGCTCGAATTATTAGCATATGATTGATGATCTTAGTTTTTAGTTTGTTTCTATACTCCTCCATGAGATCTCTAAATCTGGATATTTTCTATGGAACAGGTTTTTCAGTGTTTGGTGCATGATGCCTATCAAAGTGTGGATTTTGGAGATGTAATGGTATGACATTTGGAGAAATTCTCTTATTCGCTTCATGCTTAGACTTAGACAAGCATATTCATGTTCTTGTTGTGCATCAATGACGAGTATAAAGACTGGAAATAGGAAGAAGGCCTTAACTTCTAAAATGTATAAATTGGGTTATACGATAACTATTTTTTGGCAGGTCTGACCTAGTATCTTCTGGGGCTGCTGTCTTATCATCTACCAGCAGCAAGCAAAGCAGGGGCTAAGAGAGGCCTGAGAGAAGAGAGAGAGGCCCCAAAATGTAAAGAAAAGATCAATAAGGTCATATAGGATGAGTATCTTTACTATCCTTCCAATAGTTAAGCTATATATCTAATGTCAGTTTTAAGCCTCAGCGCACATGCAACAAGCTGGACTTCTGAGTCAACTTGTTCATCACCACAGCTCAGTTTTTTAACCTCAGACAAAATAGCAGTGTTTACAACTCAAGGTTTGAGTTATTCGAAGCACTCTACATTCACATGCCTCAACTGTTTGAGTTGGGGGCAAGGACAGGCATGCTGTCAAACAAGAGCCGCACGTCACATTCATAAATATGAACATACACAGTAGAGAGAAGGGGGGGAGCAAGAGAGGGAAAGAGAGAGAGGGGGAGAGATTGTTGTGACCTTTCACCTATTTCTCCATGCAGCTGTGGGAATTGTGTGAAGCAGGCAAATTCAGTGAAAGCTCTGGGATGGATTTAAAGAAAGAAAAGGAAGTTACACAATGGAAAACCACAACCTCTTCAGCTTTTATTCGTGAATGCAAGGTTGTGATCCCATCCATTAGGGAAATGAAGGATAAAGACTACACACATCTTGAATTGTATGCATTGTGCATCACAACCTGACATGAAGACAAGAACATGACATAACAAGTTCCACCAGGCCTGCGACTTCTTCTGACTCGTTTGAGAACACAAACATTAACACAAGCACAGATGCACCAACTGTTCTTGTTAAATGTTTGTGTTCACTATGATACTGGGGTTTACATATCATCATCGCTGCAGGGTGATTGTGTGTGCTTGTGTGTACATGTGTTTGTGTGTGTGTGAGTTGCCTAGCACCTGGTAACTGAATAGCCGAAACCTTATCGTCTTGCCTTTAGAGAGTTCGTGCTGTGCTGGACTTTTGCTATCGTCACTCACCACTGAGGTAATAAGATGACAAAGTGTATGGCAGAAAAAGTAGCTTAGAGAAGCACGAGACACATCTGGAGATAGATCTCTGTTAGTTGGAATATATTTGTGTGCAAATTGTGTTCAAAACAGTCAAAGAGGCCAGACCATTCCCGAGTTCATTTGCATGTCCATTATGACATAACACTCTGTAAACCAAGTTCAATGCATGGTCCTGAAACAATTTTTGGTACACAACCTTATTTGAGGTTAATGTACAGTAGGTTTTACTTACATTTGGTATACTACCATATGCATACAGATGTATAAAATGGATATTGTCAATAGTTTCAGAATAACCCCTATTGGGCAGAGTTCCAGTTGTCATGGGGGATATCCAAAACCTCTGTACAGTGAAGAGTTATGTTTGCGTAAAACCTGAGTGACTCATCAAGCTTAAGCTATGAATTGTGTAGATTGCTCCAAGCTTTACTTAAAGAATTCCCTCTTCCACAATAGCATTTTACAACCAGATATAAACGTGCACATAGCCACACAAACAAACTCATGCATGTGTGTGCATAAACCCATGCAAACTGTGAGTATTGGCCCAGAACCCTCATAAAGCACACTTCCCACACAAATACACAATTATGTCCACAGGCATTATTTAACACAATTTCTGTACTGTCCACTGCCTTTTATTGTCTGCAATAATAAAAGGCAGTGGGTATTCTCAAAACTGACTGCAGATTATGAAAGTGACCACCAGGGGTTTTCAAAGCATCTCTGCATCCTATTGGTTACTCAAATGCTGCATTCAGAAAAAGCACGTCTGATTGGCTGACAAGATTGACTGGCACATCAAGGTCCCACCCACAGGGTGAGTGAAAAAATTGATGTGAAGGGGGAGGGGAAAGAGCTCTGTTTACAAACGAAAATTGTGAGTAACATCTCCAGGATCACTGGTCATCAAAAATGATATGGTGTGTGTAGTCCACCTATTTAATTTTAAATATCAATCCAGGATTTCATGGTTGACAGGATTTTTTTTCTAACTCTGCCACAAGAGGACAAAATGAGATGATGAGGTTACCCTGTCTTTTTCATTTTGACCATGTTTAAAAAAAAAACACAAAAATTAAAAGATGCAATTTAACATTTGAAAAAAAAACATCTATGAGGTAACATGTACGACACAAAGATACATGTATCCAGTTTGCAGTCCAATGTCTATTCAGGAGGTGATATAACAGGTTGGTTGCAACTTGTTGTTTTTTTACAGTCAGATCAACAGCAACAGATCAGCTCTGTGCTCTCTTTTTCTCTAGCTGAACTCAGCACCAATTTGAAAATGTAATCACTTTTCTATCAACAGATCTTCATAATTCCCTGTTACAGATGGCTTGTATTAGCAGCTATGTGAGCACAGACTCAGGATCAGTTTACCATCCCCCAGCCGGGATTCCAAACAGCAGGGAAGGTGAAAGCAGAAGCTGATCATGGATCAGTCTCTGTGAAAAGTCACCCTTTCCATCTGGGTGCAGGTTGACAGCTCTTTTGCCCAGCCCCCACCCTGTTACCTAGAGAGGACCGGCTTGTGGCTTGTGTAATATTCTGATTGGCTGTTTTTCTTGAGGTGGGCGGAGAAAGGGGCGTGGCCAACGTATTGTGATCTCACAATCAGCTGTTTTGTACGTTTTACATTCTGATCCGAGGATCAGCTGGAGGCAGCAATAAACAGAAGGAAATTCTGCAGCGGAAAAATACTGAGGAGGAGGAAAAAGCTGCAGATGTTATAATCCGAAAACATCAGTGTAACATTTTTACACGAAGCCCTTCTTCTAAGAAGAAAGCCTTTTATTTTTGTATAATAGTGTTTTAACTACCTCACTTAAAGACGATCTTAAGCTGTGCTTTAAGAATTGTTATCGTTTCTACTGTGTTCGAGATCTCGTTTACAACTTGAATAATATTGCAAAGGCAGGTAAGCTTGTCTTTTCTTTCTTAATTGTTGTTTGATGTTTGTTTTAGGCTATGTGTGATCTTAAGAGGTATCAAGCTACATTTGTCTCTGCCAGTGAAGTGGCTGCATTCCGCATATGTTAATCTGAAGATCCGCAGAAATCATGAAATCATAAAACAGGTAGAATAACATTGTCTGACACTCACTCGTTAAGATGCTATCTTTGACTGTTGTGATATAATAGGGAATGACCTATTATTAGGTCACGAATACATTAAAGGAAGCAGCAGCCCAGAAAAAATAAGCTAAATTAGGTCGATTCGACGTTTTATGACCCCAAAAATACATCAACCTGCATACATGAGCCATAAGCCTTATTACAGGTTCCCAGCGACCGTTTTTTTTCTTGTAAAATGCACCAAATGCTGATGTGGAATCAAATTTGATGGCGGATGTTGATGTTTTTCTGGGAGGCGGACCTTGTAGGCTCAGGTTTTCTGCAAATTATAGTCACTCATTTTATATTTTGTAAAAAGACCCTGTTTCGTGGTATTGTGAGAAGCCTATGCAGTCGATGTATTTCGTGCACTGTCGCTGAGCCACAACTGTCATTGCTTTGACCCTTTAGCTGTACAGCTTATACGGATAATTCATGTTTAACCTGGATACTCTAAAGAAAGTCCTGTCTCTCGGCTGATCAGCTGTCGAAAATCTTAGGCCGAAGATTATGTTTTATCGTGTAACATCAATGTTAAGGTATTTTTGTGTGTTTCAAATGTAAACATTGTTGCTGTGGGCAGCGTTTTTTTTTTTTAATAACGTCAATGGGTTTCAACTACAGACGATGACCGTCGATAAAAGCAGATTTTCACATATTGATCGTTTTCAGCAAAGTGATGCAAAATGCAGATGACACACAACAACATATTTAGGTCGAATAAAAACAGCCATTATATAATATATTCTCGCTATGTTTGCTATTCAGATGTCTTCTTGTCTCCGGTTGCTGAAAAAGCCTCTGTTGGCGTCAGTGACGTTTGCATTACGTCACAGGCGTCTTGTTTTTATTTCGTGAATCTCCTCCCACCCTGCTCCGCTCCTCCTATTTTTTTTTAAAAGGCCAATGTCAAAAGAAAGATCCATGTTTCAAGGTCCTTTTTTTATATCATAGATGTGCAGTCCTGCTTGTAAAATATGACCTGTCATTGTTCCTGATGACCATATAGGCAACATATCTCTGCTGTAGTGTGTGTGCCAAATGTTAAAAATACATCCTAATATTAGAATAAAATCTCATTAATAACAACAGCATAATTAATATGCACATGATACTCATGTACACATCCACAATGTATTATTACCACAGTGTCCTTACTATACTGTAGTTGCACTACTAAGGACAATTAAGGGAAAACAAGGAGTGTTTTCAAGACAGAAAAGACAAGGCAATATATCCAGACTTGCATATTATCATGCTAACATTGTCATGATTATAATTCAAATTGAAAAATAAATACACATTTATTCTTCTGCTTTTTTACATGTGATAGATTTTACTTCAAAGGACATTTATCAGTGTTAACTTGTGGAAGTTGTTAGATAATGCTTTTTCGCAACCAATGCCATATATTCAGGAACTGCCTCCTCCAGGATATAATCCATATCAGTGGTGCTTATTGTACTCTAATGGCAGTATCAAGGCTATATTTACACTTGTCAGATAGCCCTATAATTAGCAGCCGCCAAACTGATAAAATAGTTTTGTTAGGGAAGTGCTGCATGTAGTCAATGTTAATGTTGTGCTGTGTGTGTGTGTTTTGTGGATGTCTGCTGCACCTTATGCAAAGCAGTCTTCAGGTTTTTTTACCAACATTTTGTGTATCTGGATTTGATGTGGTCCGATGCCTTTGATTTCTTTAGTTCTTAATTTCAGACACAGTTTTTGTATCTTTTGGTTTACCCTTGCACTATTCCCCAAATTGAGAACAACCATGGGCCTTTTCATTTAATTGACTGGATAGGATCTTTATACAGCTGAGATGTTTTTTATCCAGAAGGCTCGTAATGATTTATTCTGGAAATAGGCTACATCTGCAGCTTTTCGCGTCAAAGTTAATTTGACTCTCATTTTCTCTTGTTATATCAAGCATATACCCATGCAAACTGTCTCCTTGAAACTGATTGTTGAAAATATTCCTATTCCATCTGACATAAGAAATCTCAGGAGCATGTCATGTATGCTTGCAATTATGTCTCTTCCCTTTATATGTGTGGTGTCCATGTTGATTCTCCAAATAAGGAAAAAAAGGTGTCTGCTTTGCAACAGCCACTCATGCATAACTCCTTAAATGAATCACTGCTCCGTATAAGAATCTCATGCTCTTAGTTTCACCTTTTAATCTGAGCTCATTCATTAATACCAACCTCTGTCATGCCTCGTGTTGTTGGTGACATAGTTAAATGTCTGCAGAACATATCGGATTTCCATGAGAGATTAAGGTAAGATCAAGCCATAGGTCAGAGATCATGGATTGAAATTGGTTATGATCAAAAAGAAACAGAAGAGAGCAAAGATATATCTAGTGTGTCAACAATTATTAGCAGAGGATTGCTCTCTGCGGTCTCTTCAGTCATTACTTCTGCACTCACATAGTTTAAAGGGGACCTATCATGCAAAATGCACTTTTGTACGTCTTTTATACATGAATATGTGTCCCCGGTGTTCCAGGGAACTCACCAAGTGTCAGAAAACACAACCCTCTCTATTTTCCTCCATACCCAAATCTCTAAAAAAGGGGCTGCAACGGATCTGATAAAAACTGATCCAGATTTGAACACTGACAGTGGCGCTACGGCTATTGGGCCAACTCCACCAATCAGGAGGAGACAGCCACGGCCATTGCCGTTCGAAAGCGCTGGAGACGCTGTAGTACATATGACAGGCCTGTAGATGGTGCTGTTCTCACAGAATCAGCCCTTGCAAAAACAGAGCTAGAAATTGTCAAATTGAGCAAAATGAGGCATGGCTAAAATGCATGATCTGTTTGGTATTTTGAAAAAAAAAAAGTATAAATATGCCTTATATAGGTATGGTCCTACACTATATTATACAAATATACTTTAAGTAAATAAAACTCAACCTTTGTACATGTTTATTTTTTAGGCTATGTTTGTTAAACATCTGTTCAACATTATGTCCTCATGTTCACATTTAGGTCAGGCACCTGTCCTTTGCCTCAGTACCTTTTGTCCTGGTGTATCTTTGCATTTTCACATTGTGCACACTCACTTTGTTTGACATTTTGAGAACCAGGGTCTTTGTATCACCTAATTTCACCTCCTCCTCCTCCTCCTCCTCCTCCTCCTCTTCTTCTCTGGCCTGTCCATCTGTCCTGAGACTTTGCTGATTGGTTATGTAAACTACTATCGGGGGAGGGGAGTGCAGTGCAGCCAATGTCCACCAGCCTTTTGCATCCGGATTTAATTTATAGAACACATTCTTCTACCTAGTTCTTCTGCAATTCAAAGCTAAAGACAAACTTGTGTGTGTTTCACTTTTTTTTCCCTCTTTGATTAAGAGTCTAAAGTATAGACAGGGTTGAAAGAACTGTCAGCAAGTGTTTAAGCTACTATAATAAATATTCTTTTATATGGGCAATGTGTCAAATGACTGTGAAACAGTGCACTCATATTGATAAAACCAACCTATATTTTATATCCAGACCAGACTCCTCGCAGCTCTTCGGAGTATCTTTTAGGTCATTGTTTTGTTATTTGAATCACCCAAAACCTTTCTGTTTGATCAGCATTTTGAAATAGTTACTTACCACAAGCATTGCTCATTGTACTTATCTAATCTGCCCTGACATGCATGTAGCGGCAGGAAATTAATCCAATAGGTGACTTCTCTTTTTTTAGATGTCTTTTTATAGAAAATGTGTTGACAGTAAAGTACATTACTGTATCTTCTGATTACCACTAACCACCCTCTTCTCTCTCTCTCTCCCTCTCTCTTGTTTTCTCTCTCTAGGCCTTCGCTTCAAACCAAGTAAACCTTACATTTGCACTAGAGAAGCCTGTTCAAACTTGCTTGTCAAAATCGAGATCCAGTAAGGGCTTTAGGTGGAAAATAAAAGAGACTCAAAATATCTAACAAAGTATTGCTTAGAACAGCAACAAGTGATACTTAAACACAAATAAGAAATTCAATAAGGCAGCTACAGCTTTTTCTTTGTGGACAAACAAGAAGTACCTGAGTCATCACCACTTGACGAAACAAGCAGTCATGTTCCAGCGTTTGAGCAGCCTGTTGTTTGGGGAGGTAGAAGAAGTGGCGGCTGAGCTGAAGGGACCCAACCCCTGTGTGACAGAGGCCGACGAGGAGGGATGGATGCTCGTCAACCTGCCTGGTGAGTACCAGCAGTGAGAGTGCAGTGGTCGGATTTTAAAGCCTTACCAAACTGGGAAATAGACAAATTGTGTTTTATGTTTAAAGACTGAGTTAGCAGCGAAATATATATTTTCCCTCTTGCATGTCAATAATACGGACTAATGTTTAAAGTGTAGGAGTATTGATGGGGATGATGGGGTGAGGTGAAGAATCAGTAGGGGCGCGACTCAAATACACCGGTGCTTACCCATATGGCTGCCATACCAAAAGTGTTGTCTGTCAGTGGAAGGAAACACATAATTCTCCGTGAACATGCATCTCCTTCTTCTTTGTTTATGATCTCAATCATGACAAAGACAATTATTGAGAATGAAAACTTGCTTTGGGGCCTTTACAGAAGCCACTCAAACATTAAAAGCAACATAAAAGTAGCTTTCAGGAAAGTCAAGACAAACATTATGTCACTGACATAATCACAACCTTAGAGGGTCAACACAACTAATGATGTGACTCTTTTATGTTTTGTGTTTCCTTACCCCCTCTTCTTCCCCACCTCCAATTTTTTTTAAACACCCCTACATTCCCCACACTGGTATGTGTGTGCGTGCGTATGTGATCCTTTAAAAATGGCCCCTTTCAACCCGCATGGCTTTTTGAAAATCTACCATATTTGCATCATTTGTGCAACATCCCCCTCCCACCTCAAACATCTGTCTTTATTGGCCGTCTCATCCCCGATCTCATCGCTGCCTCAGAAAAATCTGACTGCATGATTCAGGCAGACGATGAGACGGGAGAACCATCAATTGCACAATCATTCCCAGATAGTAACCAATCAAATCAAAAAGTCATAAATTCAAGGACTGAAAGCCTGGCCCCCATTTCCCACCCGTCTATCAAGCGACGTAGAACACATAAAGCTCGGTCACGAGGTGCAGTAGCACCATCAGACCCACTGTCTTGTCCAAGCGCTAGCCCTTCAGACTTGGGTGCCACTACACCTGTGACCCTGCCGAGACGGGCCAGGCTGTCCACACCCTCCTCAACCCCGTCAATGTCCCCTGGCTCTGGAAGTGAGTGTGGGCGCAGTGGGGGTAGCAGTAGGTCAGGCCAAGAGAGAGGCTGCATGGATGAGAGCTGGTTTGTCACCCCTCCCCCCTGTTTCACTGCAGAGGGAGCCACAGCGGAGGCCAGCCCGATGGAGGACCTGCTCATCGAGCACCCCAGCATGTCTGTGTACGTCTCTCCGAGCAACTTCTCCATGGTCTCCCACAGCAACCTGTCCGTGTTGGGAGAGGAAAGCATTGTCAGCCTGGCGAGCAGCGTGAGGTGAGAAATAGCACTCTTTATGCTGGCTAACACTCTTTATGCTGGCTACACTTGACCTTTACCTGCTTTTTCAGCATCAGCACAACTATCACTACATCACACCTTCATGTTTTTTTCTCTCCTTGCAGCAGAGTGGCAGAACCAGCTGCTGCCCCGGCTACCCGCAGCACTATGCCTACCAGGGTGAGCCGTGGAGCCGCTGCTCAGGCTGGAGCTCTGGCCAAGGTCACCCAAGTGGCCAGGGTCCAGCGTAGCAAAGCCCGCATCGAGCGACGCCATCTGGGCCGCAACCGCATCCAACGCCAAAACCGCACCCGGGAGCAGGTCCCTCGCCATGCAGGCCACGCCAGAAACACCTTCCTTCAGCAGCCCACCAAGCGTAACATCTGCCACTAAACTCCACTACACCAGGGGGCAGCGCTTAGTCTGAGGGAATTAGTAGTGCATAGTCAACTCCAAGACACACAGGATTAAATGTCTTCACGCACCACATATTTGCTTTCTTTTCTGCACATTATATCATAATTAGATGCCAGTAGACCAGTAGCTTTTTTGTTTTGGTCAAGTTACAAACTGGCTCCACCTGGTAGTTTAATGCCCCTTTAAGATGTCAAGCCCTCTGAGAAGATCTGTGTAGACGTTTATAACAGTTGTTATCCATTGCAGTATCCAAACAACAACAAAAAAAGTATAAAAAATATGTATACAGGTTATACTTAGTAACAATAATTACTAAGAAAAACAAAAAAAACTATAGCTCTTTTGATTTTTTTTTCCTCCTAAGTAAACTATTATTTTTTCTTTCACTTGTCCTCAAGGCATGTTATTTTTAATAATTCAATCATTAAATCCCTTAAATTGTTTATACATTTAGAGAGATTTTAAAATTGTAATTACCAAGTGTACTTTAAGACATTTCTGGTAGAAACCATGCAAGAAAGAGACTTTCTTGTTTCAGAGAAAACAACTCATCATGTCTTCGAAGCTTTACATTATGGTGACTATATTTTCAGATAGATAGAAGGTTATACCGTGAGACGAGTGAGAGAGGGAAATCACTTGACATTTGTTCCTCTTCAGTTTGGTCTGGCAAAAGACAAAGGCATTCAGACATGAGGCAACCTGTTTCATCACAGGAAACACATATTGTGATATTTCTCTTTTCTCTCTGTGAAGGTTAAGAGCAAGTAGAAGATGGTGAGAGTATGAGCAAAACAGATTAAAGAGTAAAAATAATGTCTTGACGTAGAACTTGACATTATTAAAAGGATTATTGAAATGAAACAGTTAAAGGAAAGTGTTATGTAACCCTCTGAGCAGCCCGTCAGTATCTAGAAAATGGCTTTTGTTTTGAATATTTCATCGGTGTAACTCTGGAAAATGAATAAGGCACTTTCTTTCTATGAAATGAAAGATTGGCTTTATGGGCAGAGACATATTGATAAAGAGTATAAATGGATGTGAGATGAGAGGATACAGGGCTTGCCTTTGGGTTACAGGGTATGGCAAGTTATAGTAAGTGCAGAGCGGTATTGATGGCAACTCTTTATTTTGTTTTGTGATGTTGTTTTCTGCCATTTATCCTTTTAATTGTAATATTATTGAACAGTCTCTCTCTCAGCATGGTTTCACCAAATAAAGAAATAAGGCCTGGTTCTGTCAGACAAAGTACACTTGTAGCTTTTAAAGTAAACAAATAAGAGAATCTCTCTGTTGATCATACGACAGCATGATTATCATTAAATGTGTGGTCTGAAAACTAAAGTGATGTGCCCGGCACACATCAGACATTTTCATCCTCAACGTGTGCTGTGATCTTATGTTATCCATGTGAACACCAAAAAGATAGTATGACCTATTCACACGTCAGTCCCTTTCATATAAAGGTTGCTGGGGAAAAACATCTCTCAGCTGAACAAAACCCATCGTCCCTCTTCAACACATCCAGAACCTTCATCTTGAATCTGGTCGTGCAACCCATTGCTCCCTAACATCATCTGTCCATTTCTACCCGTCCCTCTCTCATTAGCACATCCAGCTCTAATAGTTTCCACTTAACGATCTAGCTTACTGATATGTATTCAACAACAATAGTAAACAATGGTGCTGAAGTGTATACTAATGTTTGTAAATTATTTGAGATATGGATGTAAGTTTGCACTGTCATACATTTTGTGAGTCAAAGTTTTAGCAGTGTGCTGTGTGCTTGTTTTTATGTGGTATATTTGTTCTTTTTGTTTTGATTTAAATTGTGTGTGAGAAGGTGTACTGACACGTTAAATGCTAGAAACTCTTTAAAAAAACATGATTAGTGGTCATTTATTTTTATTGTAAATATTACAAAACAATTTATAACGCACTATTAGATGTCAGAGCCGTTCAAGACTTGAGTCCACAAAGTTGTGTCTAATGAGACTAATGACAAATCCCCTCTCTGCCTCACCTCTGTGCTCAATATCAAATCAAGAGGGCATTTCAGTGGCCAAAAGTGTGATGTCTTTGCCTCAACTTCAGTCTCATCCCTTTGAAGTGCACCATAAAAACAGCACTAGACTCAGGGTTGATGTGTCATAGGCAAACACTGCCCTCCAGAGGGTCCATTTAGCACAGCTCCAGCTGTATGGAAGCTGGTGAGGATACAGTACAAAGACCTGGTTTTAATATAATCTGTACCAGTGTGTAAAGGAAATATTGTCTGGGTATTCCTGTCATATTGTTTGGAAATTGAAATGTCCTGTCCCATCTTAAAATACATTTTTCCACCCCGAATAACCTACCACAAATTAATTTCTGCCAATATAAGTCTGTTTTATTCAAAGTATGTTAATATTTGTTAATTTATGATATAATTATGAATTGTATCTTTTATTGTGTTTAAAGATAACTATTTTCTATCATGTTGATCAACGCTGAATGGTGCAGGAGATGGATCTGAGGTGATGAGTCCAACATACTCAGAGACATAAAGAAACACAAAGAGATCTCTGTTGAATGAATTATGTCTGCCCCTGTAATAAAGTACATACAGAGTACAAAACTGGTAATATGAGAGATCACAGATGAATGTGTGGGCGTGAATATAAAATGTAATGACCATCACAGCCTTTTCCGCTATATACGTTTTTGCCATTATTTTATTTCTTCCTTTCTCTCCCTTATTATGTAAACAGGAAATGTGTTTTCAGTATGTTGTGTGTGATTATTGAAAGGCGGAGTTTAAGGAGCGACAGTCAACAATGGGGAGCGAGACTGGTCATATGATGTGGACAGGGAAAGAATGAGGCAGGAGATTTATATATTTAACAAAAATATGAAATGTACCCTCAAAAATACAATAGAATATGCTTGTATTTTCCCATATTATCATAACAGTTGTTCACCAATAGGATGTTTTAAATAAGAGGCGTTGAATGTCTGGGGAGTTTCATATGTTTTATGTTATGCCCTGAAATGGCAGCTTAAAAACCCTTGGGGTTTTTGCCCATGTTACATCTCAATTAGTACACCTATCCCCTCGTAAAAAAGAAATATAAAGACATAAAATGTGGTGTATCTGATATCTACAGTATGGTGATTGTGCCTTTCACTATTTCTGCATGGTTTTTGGGATGTACTGATTTTTCCATCCCCAAAGTGGACGTATGTCCACTGACAGGCAAGACCTATGCAAAAATTAATGGATGGGTTTCCAGCATCCATTCAGAAAAACACAGGTACCCGCCAAAAAAAAACTAAAAAAACCATCAACAATAAATACTCAGGTTAACACCTGAATCTTGTGTCATTATTTTCCACTGTGAGGGCATAAGGGGATTGGAATTAAGCATATGGAGGCTATGGAATAGAGCAGTGAGTGTGTTATCAGTGGGGGAATGTAAATCCTTGAGTAAAAATAGAAATGCCACAATGTTAAAACAAACAATTATGCTTCCAAGTTTTTCAAAGTAAGTATTAACGGGAAAAGATGATAAAAGTTTCAAAACAAAAGTACCATGTCAATAGAATATTTACATTAATTATAATATTTACCTCAAAAGTACCTGAAATGTGTTATTGAGTAAATGTACTTTGTTACATTCCACCACCTTTCACCTTACAGGTGACGCTTTAAAAGTAGGCGGAAGTTATGGCATGCCAAAAAAAAGGGAAGCATTAGACAGACGGGTGTGGTAATGGAGTGTAAATAGGCTACATTATGTGTATTTAATGGGCGGGGTATTATCTTGCAAAACATAGACCTACAGTGGCTTGAAAAAGGGAGAACATAAAATGAAGGCAAATAAAGATGCTGTAAAAGGGTGAAGCAAAAATAAGAATGACATCTATTTTTGCAGCAGAGTGGTCCAACTTTTGTGGTGTGAGGCTGAGACAGATGCTGAGTTCCCCTGTAGTGTAGACTCTGACCTTTCTTTCAATTGCAGCAAGAACAACATCTACTTAAAGTGTTGTAGTAATATTGTGTAGTGGTGTATTGCATAGTATTGAGTATTTGTTCACTGTCTATTAGGACTGTTAGTGATGTTCTGCCACTTAAAAAGGAGAAACATTAAATACATGATTTATGGGAGGGACAGAGGTTTGTAATTGGAGCAGGTATTCTGCATACCTGCTTGGCCACGTCTAACCTCTGAGTCTTAACAACAAGTAATACAATACACACTCAGCAGAGAAACTCAGGTTGCTGGGGGTAGTTTTCAGATCAGCATCTGTCATAATTATACTGTGTGGGAAAAGACTTGAAGAACCGGTGCTGGGGAGAGGATTTGGTCATCAGCTGTTTGGATGAGATTTATGGACCTAACGCCATCTACTGTGAAGTAAGTCTGATATTGGTACAACACGGCCATCAGCCTGATTTCTCTATTTCAACGTGTAATTCATAAATATTTTCCATGTAAGTCATTTTGTATAGGTTTATTTTGGTATTAAGGTGACAGATATGTGCACATTTTAACCAGCTATTTGCCTGCGTGACAAGTCTTACCAATACCGGTTTCTCTAGCTGTAACACGAAGCCGACTTCCCTGCCGTTTGCAGGTGTCGTGATTCAGAAGCTCTGTGACGGCAAAGCTACACTCACCTCACCCGGCAAAACACGTAAAATAACACTGTCAGGATTGTTTTTTTATTTGACTGCGAGTATTTTACGACAACGGTAAGTTACATTAACGTCGCTTTGATCCGCTTTTAGCCGCAAGATTTTACGCATTAGCAGAGACAAGCGTGAACAGATAGTGTACGTAGGATAACATGGGCCCTACTGCTGGCTCTGTGCTTGTTTTTAACACTGGTAATGTCATTTTTTAATATAATACTATAATTAACTGTTTATCTGCGCCATAGACAGACCATGGCAGACGTATTGTCGTATGTCAATATTTGCGGTAGCCTAGGTTGTGTTTACCTAGTGACCAGGCTGGTTAGAATTAAATCCGATCATTATCGCAGACAAACCTTTCTCTAAGGAAAGCCCATGTAGTTGACCCACAGGTTTTTTATATCTGTTGCAGGTGGCATCTTACATGACTGGAAAATGCATCATCATCGGAGCAACACACCGTTGTCTTGGCCTATCCAAAATATTTCACAAGAAGAAGGAATCGCACTGATCTCTCTGTAAGGGTGCTTATGCCATACAAGAAAGCTACAAATTCCTGTCCGGGGACTTTGGACATAGCCTACTGGGACATTAAAGATCCCATTCATTAGATTTACTTAATTCTTCAGCACCACAGTGCACACAACCTTGAATTTGCAATTGGATGACAGTAGGGTGTTTGACTGATCATCCAGGAATAAAAACAGATGTGAATGGAAACATGGATATCCTGCTCTAACTCTCTTCATCACACCCTTAAAATAAAGATAGATTAATTGCGGATCAACAGTAGTCATGCACAGTCCAGCTCCTGATATTGTGGCTGGGTACACCAGTGGGTGTGTGGCGGATAAAGATGCCAATCCAGAGACGACCCTGGGCAGTGCCTACTCTCCTGTGGACTACATGAGCATCACCAGCTTCCCCAGGCTGCCAGAGGACGACGCGCAGTCTGGGGAAAACACTTTAAAATCTCGAAAAGATGATGACAACGTCCTCAGTGAGCAAGATACAGGTGAGTAAGTCAGGTCATAAACTCAATTACTAGAAAAACCACAGCCCAAAGACAATATTGTCACGGGTGTTTACGTTTCTGGATGTGGAGTTATTATCCATGAATTCATTTTTCATTGAAAGCTCAAGGAGTTGTTTAAATATTAAAAGTAAAATCAATGTGTGAACTAGGACTGCAACAATTTATTATTTTTCTTATATTGGACTGCCTTTTTTTCTCAAGTAATAGGTTACTCAAGAAAGATGATTCTGCCAGAGCCCAAGCCGATCTCCTCAAATGTCTAGTTTGGTGGGACCAACAGTACAAAATCCAAAGATTTAATTTCATAAAGAAAAGTAGCAAATCCTTGCATTTTGGTTGCTGGAACTATTAATGCTGTTAAAATATAAAATGAAAATGTAATTATCCAGACTTCTTATCTTTGTACTAGAAAGTAACATTGAACTGACACTTTTTTGAATGGAGTTATGGTTTTACAAAACAGCACATATTACTCTGTACTGTTTAATAAGCCTTTTGGTTTGTGTTGAATGTCCCAGACCCGGATCTGTTTCTGAAATCGGCTCGTCTGCAACGTCTCCCCTCCTCAGCTTCTGACCTGGCTAGCCATGATATCGCATCTCTGCGGGAGACCAATAAAGACCCTTTTACAGAAGACTGTGCCTGTCAGCGAGATGGACTCACGGTCATCATCACAGCCTGCCTCACTTTTGCCACAGGAGTCACTGTAGCTCTTATCATGCAGATCTACTTCGGAGACCCACAGGTATTGGTGCATGTTTGTTACCTGCAGTCGTACCTTTGTAACAATGTTGACTTAGGGTTGCTTTTCTCAAACAACTTCATGTGATAATTGGATTATGAGTCATTCTGTAGAATGACTCATAATCCAATTATGCTCCTCCCTGTTTCCTCCCACACAAGCCAAAAGTCAAATTAAAGGCATAGAGACAGTCTCTACCTTTATGCTTTGTTCTCCTTTCTCTTGCAAGATCTATAACCAAGGCGCAGTGGTGACGGATGTGGCCCAGTGTACATCTCTTGGCTTTGAAGTTCTGGGGAAACAGGGGTCCAGTGTCGACGCAGCCATCGCCGCTGCCCTCTGTTTGGGAATTGTCCACCCTCACACTTCTGGTATTGGAGGGTGAGTCATTGAACCATATTTATCTGTTATGAACAGAAAGGTATATATTTAGTTGATGATACAAGGCCTTTAAACACTTTTTCTTCTGTTGATGTTTAGTGGTGGAGTTATGTTGGTTCATGACATCCGAAAGAACGAGACGAGGATAATCGACTTCAGAGAGACGGCACCATCTGCCATTCAGGAGCAGATGCTGCATATGGACCTTGATCAAAATGTAAGGGATTTATTTTCTGGGCATACTTTTTCTAACAGTGAAATGTAAAGTATGAAAACAGAAGACAGGCTACTATCATTTATGTGAATAGGCCCCCTAAACATAGTTTAAAGACTATTTATAACATTCAACAGCTTAATAGTTACATTTCAATAATTGACTTGTTTGAATTTGTTTGATGTTGTTTGTTAGATGTCTAACAGAGTATACATTGACCATAAACATACCTACATAATATACTCACTCAAACTGTGCTATACACGTTATCAAAGGTTGTGTGAGTAGTTCAAGTGAAATATTCTGAGAATATGTAGGTATGAATTAATTCACGAATTGTCACATGAACTCATACTATATAGATAATCTGTTAAACATCTACAGACAAAGGAAACTGTTGATTTATCAATCTCAACTAATAAAATATGTTGCATGTACTCAATAGACAATTTCGGAAGCGGACTATCCAATTAGAGTGTTACGGAAAGTCTCATTGTTATTGTTTAGTACTGAGGTTAATGTGTGCTCCCTGTGCATTTCAGCCGGGCCTGCTGGTGGGAGTACCAGGCATGCTCAGCGGGATGCATCAAGCACACCAGCTCTATGGCAGGTACGGATACTGCTGTGTAATCCATTGTTTTAATTGTTCAATCTCTTCCCATGCCATCCAATATAATTAGAGTCCTCATGCTGCTTTCTGTTTTTTCTACATTCCTTACTTCTTTGATATTGTTTTTTTCACATGTGTTTTATGATACATCTATAAATAGAACCTTATTTATTATATTCCTAAATTGTTCTCCTCATTTAATAAACACAAGCATTTTTAAACTTTGATAACATCAGCTCTGAAAGCTAAAGGAGTGAGATCTCAATAGTCCCAAGCTGTGTTAAAAATACATTGTTTTGTTTTTTTAACACGGGTCATGGGCTGCAATTACTCTGATCCTCTATAATTATCATGATCCTGATGCTTCAGCTAGTAAGAGGCTGATGTTACACTAGCTTTACCAAGTTTTAAAGTATTGTGAATGGTTATTTTTAGCCCAAAGATCTCTTTAAAAAATAAAAATGTTTAGAGTCTATATGATTTTTAAACATTCTCAGCAATGTTTCTGTACTTTTTACCCAGAATGCCATGGAAGGATGTGGTTACCATGGCAGCAGATGTGGCCAGAAATGGATTTAATGTAACTCACGACCTAGGTAGGTATAATGTAATGTTGAAACAATCCCTGGTGAAGTCACTTCAACTTGTGACACTGTGATTAAAAGTCATCAGCATTATAGCCTAGCCTTAGTGTGAATAATAAAAAAAAAGATTTGCCGTGATCTCATCTGCCTTTCCTCTCTCTCCCTAGCTGAAGCACTGGCAAACGTTAAGGACCAAAACATTTCGGACCTATTTCGGGAATTGTTCCTTCCAAATGGCCAGGCTCCGCTCTCTGGGCTGTTCACCACACGTCTTGATTTAGCAGCCATCTTGGATGCAGTTGCAGCTAACGGGATGTCGGAGTTCTACAGTGGCAACCTGACGCAGGAGATGGCAGCAGCAGTAAGGAAGAATGTTTTTCCCCCTGTCTCCATCTTTGATGATATAAGTGGTCATGAATTCTTCATGGATCCAAGGGATTTTACTTTTAGTCCCTGATGTACTTTCACCATGGCTTGACTGTCATAATGTGAGAAAAATAATGATGTTAGGTAACTATGACTTCTATTTTTAAAGACAATATTCCTTAGTTACACAAAATAATCTTACAATGTGTTTTGAAGATTAGTTAAAAAGATGTTCAACACCAGTGCAGTTTATTTAATCATTAATGAACAGATATTGTCTTATTAAAATATTAATATGTTCTTATTCATTTATTCCTTGTATATATATTTCCAAATACAAATCTTACTCATTACAGTTAGTGGTGGTATTGCTTTGAACTGCATTATATTGAGAAGTGTTTGTAATACTCTGACCCCTTCATGTAAGTAAATATTTAAATATAAATGACGAAACATTTGAAAAACCTTTCAATATAAAATATTCCCATACAAAACCACCTTTAACCCTCATCAGACCTGCTGGATCGTAGCAGACCCGGCCGCCTTTACTGTCTATCCTTAAAACTAACATGTGCATTTTTAATAGGTGCAAGCAAGAGGCGGGGTGCTCACTGAGGATGACTTTGGAAATTACAGCACAGTCTTAGAGCAGCCAGCAGAGGTCATCTATCAAGGTAAATATTTGTTGTACTATTTACACCAAACATTTTAAGATATGAGCCTCAAAGTGACAGTACAGCAAGCCAACTGCCTTATTAACATTACAATATTACTGAGACCAGAATTTCAAGGTGGATGCAAAACAAAACTGGACCACTTGGTTGAATTTAACTTGTCATTAATTACATTTAGGAATTTACTAACATATACTTGTGTTTAGAGTGTTTTAATTGGGGCATAAGCAACTGTTGAACCAGGAATGCAAATATGACAGACATGACACAGATCCTGTATAGGCTTTATCATTATCTTTCCTTATTCTTCACACCTTTTTTCCCCCCATTTGCTAGCAATTATCACATTTATTGGATATACTGTACTGTCAGTTTCCTTTAAAAATGAAAAATGTCTGTTAGTGTTTTCAAACTTATGCTTTGTTGGTGTTTCTACAGGATACCATGTGATGGTGGCCCCGGCCCCACATGCAGGTGTTGCCCTGATCACTGCTCTAAACATCCTGGAAGGCTACAACATTACCAGCCAGGTGCCCAGGAACAACACCTACCATTGGATTGCAGAGGTAATAAACTGCATTAACTGCTTCACCATTGTCAGCATTAACAGTTTGAAAAGTACAGTATGTCGTTTTACTTAAGTATTAATAATGCATTACTCTCCCAGGCTGTAAAGATAGCTCTTGCCCTGGCTAGTGGGCTGGGAGACCCCATGTATGACACTTCTGTCTCGGAGATTGTCACCAAGATGCTGAGGTAGAGATCCCTATACCATCTTTAAACATATAATGTATACAATTCAACAAGGCATGTTCATGTAACCCTACCATATGTTGTTCCCATCTCAAAGTAAATCACAGGCCTCCATACTCCGCCAGATGATCAACGACTCTCAGGCCTTCCCTGTCGGCCATTACACTCCATCATTTACCATGGAGAACAGTGCAGCAGCTGCCCAGGTCATGGTCATGGGCCCAGACGACCACATTGTGTCAGTCATGAGGTACATCATGCTAGAACTGAACTGATATTGCACATTGGTAAAGTAAATCACAGTGACAGTTAGGAGTGGATTGATTTCACTAAAAATATTAAACTAAGACCACTTTTTTGTGTGACTGTTTTAGCTCTCTAAACAAACCATTTGGCAGCGGGATAGTGACTCCTTCAGGAATCCTCCTAAATAGCCAGATACTGGACTTCTCCTGGCCTAATAAAACACAGGGCTCATCACTTAACCCGGTAATTGTGCATTCTCTTTTCTTACATTGATTGAAGTATTGATACATTTATTATTGAACGTTTTCTTGTAGCTGCTCTAGGTCCTCATGATTTGTGTTCCTTTGCTGTAGCATAACATCCTCCAGCCTGGAAAGAGGCCCATGTCTTTCCTGATGCCCACAGCAGTGAGGCCTGCCGTGGGGTTATGTGGCACATATGTAGCCGTTGGATCTTCCAATGGGGAGAAAGCTCTCAGTGGCATCACACAGGTTATTACATTACTGGAAAGATTAATGAATTTTCTTTCATTAATATTACATATAGATTTCCATTTAACTCATTTGTATCTTAATCTCTTTAATGATCTTTCACAGGTGCTGATGAATGTGCTGTCCTCCCGTAAAAATATGAGTGACAGCTTAGCATATGGAAGGCTCCACCCACATCTGCAGCCCAACACCCTGCTGGTAGACTGTGAGTTAATCCTTCTTATCCATCTATACGATCCAAACATAACTGAATCGCTTCAAACACTATGATTGCAGCGTTACTGCTAGCATTTCTTTTTTTATGACAGCAGTAATTTCCTGCTATAACATGCAATATGCTCTCCAGATAAAAAACAATCCAATAGTGCCCTTGCACCAGTATTTACATTGCACTTAGGTCACATGTATGTGTAAACTATGCAAAGAGGCAAGTAGCTGGGAAGGAAGCAAGTACCTTTATTGTTGTTATAAACAAAGGTGGCAGGTGCAGGGTTTCCATGACACAGAAAACGCCTGCTTGAGTTTCTGTGCTGTGGAAAGAATAATCTTATTGTTAATTTTAGAAAACATCATGGTAATGTGTTATCAAATACTGTGAACCTCATACTGCAAACATCACATTTCTGGTTCCAATAATGACATGAAATGTCTGTTTCATTATCAAGAGTGCAGAAAATACTGTTTTGGCTGAGATCTAAGGATTTTACTTGGTCTGCCCCCTGCAAACTGTTTGTGTGTGCTTTTAAACACGATATCTTATGACCTACATGGCTGAAAATCACGGAAGAAATGTGCTGTGTTAACTCACTCCGAGTGTTATTCTCCTCTATCAGAGGAAATTACATTTAAGTACCAGGTGTAAATAAGAGCTAATTCAGTTTGTTATATAATTATTTGGCTAACTGACTGACCTCAGATCATCCTTTCCCTTTCTCTCCTACAGCTGAGTTTCTAGACGAAGACGTGGAGCTGCTGCAAGCCAAAGGTCACAAGGTGGAGAGGAGAGATGTTCTCTCACTGGTTGAGGGAACCCGGAGAACCAATGACCTCATCATAGGGGTGAAAGACCCACGTAGTGCTGATGCCTCTGCCCTCACTATGTCCGTGCCCTAGTCCACCCCCTTTCCCAATACTCACACATAATTAAGAAAGGGTAGAGTAACACTGTATGATCGTTAGTGAGGGAGTAAGGAGGCTGCTCATCACTTAATACACTAAATGTAGGTTAATGTTGAAGAAAGGTTGTTTGACAGAAAGAAACTGTGACGAGATTATATGGAGCCTAGTGTTTTGATCAGCACACAGAAAACTACAGAGGATCAACATCTCACATGCTGGTGTCTGTATTACTTCCTTCACAGCCTAGAGTTACGTTCAGTTGCACTGTAGATAGTGTTCAAAATGTATGTAAGACATCACTTAATGGCATTAGTCAAGTCTGAAGCATGTATTGTGCAGAGCAGGGTGTGTCCAAAAATGTAAATTCGATGCACTCAAGGTCCACTTGAAGAAAGCAATACACTCAATAGGTTTAGAGTGGATTTACTTAGTGGGCATGAGAAAAACAAAATGGAAGTTTATCACTCTGAATATCGCCTCAGGAATTGTGGGGGAAATTAATAATGAACAAATTGATTCTTATCAAATACAGGATGAATGAATCTAATGATGCTACATCATTAAGCCACTAATTGTATTATGTGCATGGCCCTATATATTTCTGCTTTTGGATTATTCTACATTTCACCATAGTTTGAAAGAACACATAGGTTCACATGGAATGTTAAAGGTTATAATATTTAAACCACTAATTAAGCCTTGTATTGTCACACCTAAACATATACTATCTTAAACCAAACAAAGAGGCTAAACCATTCACTATCATTTTCTTTAAATGGTGTTTAACTGTGATTAGATGTTGTTTGGTATAGCTGCTGGAGTTTTAACCGTTGCAAACAATCAATGGCTTCTTGGGACTGTGTACAAATGATTAACAAATTATACGGCATTCAAAATTATCCATTAATTTCCTCTACAGAATTTGCTTCGGTTTTACAGGTGTAAATTATTACTTATGATAGAGCAAGTGTATTTAAATATATTATTTAAGATATTTTAGTTGTGGCATGATTTTGCTCTCTTTTAAGCTTGTTGTTTACATTTTTCATTTTAAATTTAGACATGGGATACTTGTTTTTAGAATAAGAATAATCTGATTCTTTACAAAAGGATGAATGTAAACTGTCTATTTTTATATGAACATTTTTTTGGGCTGTAAACATTATTTCTACTGTTGTAACACAATTTGCATTACTTCAGCTTATTTTAGAAAAGGCTGTAAAGTTTATCTTTTGTGTACTTGTGTAATTATTTTTGTAAAGCATTGCATTCTAAAAGTGGTTCAATTTCATTGAATTCCAGGATGGCAGATGCTGACTGATCAAATGAGCCCTTAACCTTTCTGTCTGTTGTTTGGCACTAGTGCAATATGACTGTTGATGCTTTCCCCCTGTACGGTAGAGTACCATGCCTCAAGGCAAACATTTGCACAACACCTGATGTTTAATTCCATATGCATTTTTATCAGATTTTAATCAAAATCAGCACTGTCAACCCAAAAAATAAAATGTTTGCACACTTCTTAATGTGGATGAATATTTGCCCTTTTCGCCTCATACATGTATATATATATGTGTATATTTTTGATCATCTAACCTACTGTAGAGTATGTGAGCTTGCTCTTTAAATACACTATTCTAAATTTTAAAATTGAGCAGATGTATTTTACAAATGTCCCAATGCCTGTTTAAAACCTGTTATTACCAATATGTGTACACCCAAGGGTGTAACTTTGGTTTGAGAAGTGGGGGGGACACAAAACAGGGGGTCCTCCGCAATGAAACATTTTCTCGATTTAATTCCATTTCCTGCCTTTCTACAAATATATTAGGGACTATGGTGTTAAAAAAATCCAAGAAAAATGTGTAGTGTATATAATGAGGAGAAGATTTTTGTCTTTAAATTAAAGTTGAATGCATCAATCTGGTGCACTTTCAGAGCAAAATTAAGAGATTTATGGATACAGCTCTTCCCGGGGGAGCATCCCCCCGGACCCCCCTAGAGGAGGTGAGGTCCGCCCCCCACTCATAACAAATACCACTTTACCCCTGCCTATATGCCGTGAGCTGATTATCGAGCCTTCATTGTAACAGTCGCGGGTGTACTGTGTGTGTGCGTGTGGGGAGTGTTGCAGTAAAAATGCCACTGTAGTGCCGCCGCCACTGTGGGCTAAGCCCCGAATGTTTTCAGGTCCAGGCGACGCCCCTGGGCCTACTACTGCCTTCATTTATATAGAGGCATTGAAACAATAAAACGTAAGTGTCTCTTTCAGTAGAATCCATAGCTCCATACAATAGTAACCTGTAGACAAGTCTTTAGGCTTACACAAGGCAGTTCTTCCTAATATTAATACATTTGTTATCATGAAAAGGACGTTGCTTCTTCCTTAACTGGGATTTTATTTTGGAAAGTAATACCGGAAATAGTACTGTTCGATGTTCGTCTCTAGCTTGACATTGTTTCTTGCTTGTGGTTCATGTTTTGTTAGCTAATCTGGCTAGCAGATGTCGAATGGTCGAATTAAGTGTCAGATGAATATATGTGGTAAGGCTTTTGCTTTTCTCATGCGGATTTTACTGTTTACGATATGCGGCAAGTTAAAGCTAACGAATTTGGAAGTCAATCGGTTGTGTTTCAATGCATTCATGATGAATTAACTGCAGTGCTACAAGGCTAACTTGGCTAACGTTTGCTAACTGGAGCGTTCGGAGAAACCAGCAGGAACCGCCTTGACATTTAATGTGTATCCTCATTCGTAATGCAGTGACTGCAGGAAACATATTCATTTGAATTGTAAGCGGTGTTCATATTGGCACAGGTGTGCACACTCGCATATTTGTGTTCTCCTTGCCGATTTATATTTTGTTACGTTTGCGTCAAGGCCCGTGCTACTGCTGCTGGGCCGATCGTGAAGCTGCTCACCGGTTATGGCATCTGATTTATACAATGCAACATTATTCGACATTAATGCAAATCACACAGCAGTTAATACCTCTCAACCACCTACAGTCACTTCTGTAAGATGTTGACATGCCTACTGTTATAAGTTTAGCATCACCGGTCACAATGATGTCACTACTAACGTGTGTTATTACTGCGATAACGTCATCTATTTACTTCACGAGTATGTGAAAAAATATTTATTTGACGTTGTCTCTTTTGAAGCTTGCAGTGTACAACGTATACCTGACATCCTACTGCCTATTTATCCAGCATATGTTCTACTCGGTGGTGTAAAGTAACTAAGTAGATGTACTCATGTTCTGTACTTAATTACAATTGTGATGGATGTGTGTTTTTCGTACATCTACCTCACTACAATTCAGAGGTAAATAGTGTATTTTTAGTCGGCTACAGTTACAAGCTTTGATAACACTTTAATGCATCAATAATTACACTCAAAACATAATTAATTGTATTCTGAAATGGGCCAATCTGCATGATAGATACTTCTATTTTCGATACTAATACTTTTGTACTTTTACTGGTACTCCTACGTTTACAGTAGGTACAAGATCTGAGTACATCTTCCACCTCTGGTTCTACTGTATAAGGCATCTTCCACTAATTCAATTCTGATTGTTCCCAATTTGAATAGCCATCTCTGTTGTTTCTTGACTGTGACATTACTCTTGAATGGGATGGACTAGTGATCTGTTTCTGTCTTGTGTACAATTTCAGCTTAAAACGGTCAAAACGCCACTCCTAGTAAGAAGGGAGGATGGCGCATCGACGTACCCCACCTCCGCTGTCTCAGAGGACAGAGTACCTGGAACCCGATAATGACTCCGACAGGGACTCTGGCGTTGGGGAGGATGCAGGGGAGGATGCTGACAGTAGCCATGAAGCCACATTTACGGAGGAAGAGAACGTCAACATACAAGATGGATTGGAAGAAAACGGAGGAGAGAGACGAGATTTTACAGTTTTTGTAGCCTTTCAAGGGAATATGGAGGATGAGGACTTCGCTCGAAAACTTGACACTATCCTCAGTGGGATACCCAACATGCTTGATATGGGTAAGTTCTGTAGCTATCATTGTTATTGGGGAAAAACAGCACAGGATTTTTTACTGTTAAACCTAACATTTATAAATATAATATTGAAATAAATTGCCATTGCCAAGTGTGTGCAATTGCCACACACTTAATAAAGAATTTACAACTCTGGAAAGATCCTAAAAGTATGTTCTACTCGGTTGAATACATTATTAAAAAAACATTTATATTCTTCGATGTAATTTGGTGTTTTGACATTGATTAATGACTGATAACACTTGAAGTGAATATGTAGCCATGTTATAGATAATTGGGTGGTATTTGTATTTGCGGTATATGTACCTAGTTTAGTTACACCTGCAGAATTCGTACGTTTGAAACATGCCCACATTTCTTTGTGGAATATAGCAGCAAGAATTTTGTTTTTCCTTTCCTTATCCTTTTCCAATTAATAGTTTTAGATTTGTTGTTCCAGCTTGCACTTCAATTGCAACTTGTATTCTTTGTCATTCTTTTAGGCTCTGATAGGCTACAGCCACAGCATGTGGAGCCGTGGAACAGCGTGCGTGTTACCTTTAACATTCCTCGGGATGCTGCTGAGCGACTCCGACTGTTGGCCCAGAACAACCAGCAGCAGCTCAGAGACCTGGGGATCCTCTCTGTGCAGATAGAAGGTAACAACACAACCTACACACTCCAACAAGAGACAACGTTTATTACCTATGTGGCACTTTTGAATAAAGCATACAAATTAGGACCCTAGCAAACATCTCCCCTCAATTATTGTTCAGGGGAAGGAGCCATCAATGTGGCTGTGGGACCAATTAGAGGACAAGAAGTCAGAGTGAATGGACCAATTGGAGGACCTGGCCAGATGAGAATGGATGTTGGATTTCCGGGTCAGCCTGGTACAGGTATGAGTTTACTAAATTTATTTTACATGTTGCCTTTATACCAATCAAAAAATAAAATACTGCACAGTAATTATTTTATGGTTTTTTTTCTCCTTTATTCCACACACGTATGCATCTGTGAAAAAAACAAAAGCTGTAAAGACAAAGCCTAACTGAACGTGTTGCTTGGATGTTTTATTTTTCTTTAGTGTGTCATAGCAACTCATTAGTTAGTGACTATAATTCTGTTATTTTGTTAATCAATGTTTACTGACATTATATATATGAGTTATTTGCTTGTTTCTACAATATGATTCAATTTTCACATGTTTCCGGTAAGGAGGAGTGAGGATGGCTAATCCAGCGATGGTTCCTCCCGGGCCTGGCATGGCAGCTCAGGCTATGATGCCAGGCGGCAGTGGACAGATGCATCCTCGTGTTCCCAGACCATCTTCACAGACAGGTTCAGGTCTTTATTTCTTGTACGTTAAATGATAGGTGTTGTAGGTTTAAATATCTTACAGCTTGGACAATACAATAATGGAAATGTCAATCTTCCTGTCCCACAGATGTTATGGATCCAATGATGCCAGGTATGTCCGTTCAGCAGCAACAGCAGCAGCAGCTTCAGCACCAACAGGCTGGCCCACATGTCTCAGGCCCCATGCCTCCTCAGGCTGCCCATCACATGCAGACTCTGCAAGGTGGCAGACTGCTTAACCCTGCTGCACTGCAACAGCTACAACAACAACAACAACAACATCACCAACAGCAACAACAGCAACAGGCCCAGCAGCAAGCTCAACTGGCCCAGCTTGGACCTCGACCTCCATTCAACCCATCGGGCCAGATGGCTGTGCCTCCTGGCTGGAACCAGCTGCCCTCTGGGGTGCTGCAGTCACCAGCCGCCCAAGGAGGCCCTGCCTGGAGAAAGCCCCCACCACAAGCCCAAATGCTTCAACGGCCACCATCCCTTGCTGCAGTTCAAACTCCCAGCCATCCCCCACCCCCTTACCCATTTGGCAGCCAGCAAGCTGGGCAGGTATTCAATGCCATGGGACAGGGACACTTACAGCAACAACAACAGCCAGGAGTGGGTCAGTTTGCCACCCCCCAGCCTAAAGGCCCACAGACTGGCCCTGGAGGTGTCGTAGGACAGCCCAGACCTCCTCCACCCCTTCCACCTACATCTGGACCGCAGGGCAACCTCACTGCCAAGTCCCCTGGGTCCTCCTCGTCTCCTTTTCAGCAGGGTTCACCTGGGACTCCTCCTATGATGGCTCAGAGACCTACAACTCCACAGGGTTTCCCTCAGGGCGTTGGATCGCCAGGAAGAGCAGCCCTCGGCCAACAGGGTAACATGCAACAAGGATTCATGGGAATGCCCCAGCACGGACAGCCTGGGGCTCAAGTTCACCCAGGTGGGCTACGTTTGTAATATTGTTTAGGTAGACTAAAATTAACATCAAAAAAGTGCTTTTTTCCCCTTGTAAATGCTGTATTAAGTAATTAATTAATTACTAAGTACTCTGATATCGACAATAAAAAAATAATTGAATACATTTTACAGGCATGCCGAAGCGTCCCATGGGCTTTCCAAACCCCAACTTTGTCCAAGGTCAGGTGAGTGCCAACACTCCAGGAACCCCTGGTGGAGGAGCCGGTCAGCAGCTTCAGAGCAGCCAAGCCATGACTCACTCGGGTAAGATATTTGCTGTTTACACAATCAAAAGCATTTTTGACAAAAATCCCTTTTATAAAATATTTACAAAGGCTCTTTGACTGATAAAAACAACTGCTGGAAAAACCATTACAACATGAATACTGAAAAATATACACTACTGAATTGATGTGCATTTATGATATAGTTTAGGCATCAGCAAATACTAATTGTTTTCAACAGCAATAATTATTGTTTCTAAAAAGCATATATTAATACAAAAATAATAATGCTTTCATTTCACAATAAACATGTTAAGATTGAGTCGTAATTTAGAAATTCTTTATATTTAATATATATATAATTATTACTAATGCTGTTTCACTCAACTTGTCACAGGAACATTCATTCATTCAAGTTCAGCTATGTAGTCTGCTTTTTGTTTATATTTAGATGTGATGAACTGCTTTATTGTGTCAACAGTCTAATTTGAAATGCCATGGTTTAACAAGCAGTTAATAGAAGGTTATTGTATTACTTGTTGTGAAAGCCTTTCACCAAAAGTGATTATTTTTCCTCTTTGTTTAAATCAGGAGCTCCGCCAGCCTCCACACCAAACTCAATGCAGGGTCCACCCCATTCCCAGCCAAATGTTATGGGTATACAAAGTGGCATGGCGGGTCTTCCCCCTGGTACAACCGCTGGGCCTAGTATGGGCCAGCAACAGCAAGGCCTCCAGACCCAGATTATGGGCCTCCAGCATCAGGCCCAGCCCGTGTCTTCGTCCCCCAGCCAGAAGGTTCAAGGCCAGGGTGGTGGTCAGACTGTCCTCTCAAGGCCCCTCAGTCAAGGGCAGAGAGGAGGGATGACCCCACCCAAGCAAATGATGCTTCAGCAAGGCCAGGGGGTGATGCATGGGCAGGGTCAGATGGTTGGAGGCCAAGCGCACCAGGCCATGCTCCTGCAGCAGCAGCAACAGCAACAACAGCAACAAAACTCCATGATGGAACAAATGGTTGCCAACCAGATGCAAGGTAACAAGCAGGCATTTGGAGGCAAGATTCCAGCTGGGGTCATGCCCGGCCAGATGATGCGTGGCCCTGCTCCAAACGTTCAAGGTAACATGGCTCAGTTTCAGGGCCAGGTTGGCCCTCAGCAGATGACTCCCCAACAGCAGCAGCAAATGGCTCAACTCCAACAGCAGCAGCAGCTACAGCAGCAGCAGCAACAACAGCAACAGCACCAGTTGCAACAGCTACAGCAGCAGCAGCAGCAGCAACAGCAACACCAGCAGATGAATCAGCAACAACCACAGCAGGCTCCTATTGCTGGCAATCCTAATCAAGCTATGGGCATGCATGGTCAACAGATGAGGCTCCCCGCTGGCCATCCTCTTATCCAACAACAGTTGCAACAGCAGCAGTTACAGCAGCAACAGAAACAACAGCAACAGGTCATGTTGCAGCAGCAGCAGCAGCAACAACAGGCAGCTCAACAACACCAGCATCCTTTAGGGGATCCTAACAGTGGCACAGGGGACTTGGGGGTCCAGCAGATGGTCCCTGATATACAGGCACAGCAGCAGCAAGGCATGATGGCTGGCGCACAGCACATGCAGATGGGAAATGGCCACTTTGCAGGTCATGGCATGAACTTTAACTCACAGTTCCCAAGTCAGATGCCAATGGGCGGACCCTGTGCACAGCAAGGAGCCTTTCCTGTCAACAAGGACGTAACACTGACTAGTCCACTGCTGGTCAACCTGCTGCAGAGTGACATCTCAGCCAGCCAGTTTGGGCCAGGAGGAAAACAGGGAGCAGGGGGTGGCCAAACCCAAACCCAGGCCAAGCCCAAAAAGAAGAAACCAGCACGAAAGAAAAAGCCCAAAGAGGGAGAAGGACAGCAGCAAGTAGAAGGACTTGGGTAACACATTTTATTTTTTATAGTTATTTCCTTCTATAGTGGACAGTTGAAGTAAGTGGAATCATTGTTACATGAATTAGTTGATAAAATTCACCTATTTACATTTTTTAGTGGTCTTGATGGGGCTGCTGGCATGGATGATCCCGAACTGCCAAATCTGGGTGGTGAACAGAATTTGGGTTTGGAAAACTCTGGCCAGAAACTCCCTGATTTTCCCAACAGGCCTGCAGGTAAATTCAATTCAAATAAATCATTTTGGCAATTATTTTTTATCTGCATTCAGTTAGTGATTTGTTTACTTTTTGCAAGTTTACAGTCTTTTCAAAATGTGTGTTTGATTTGTATGTATGCCTTTCTACAGTTAACGTAGGTTTTCCCGGACAACCTGGAGACCAGAGAGTATTGCAGCAGGTACCGATGCAGTTTATGCAGCAACAACAACAACAGCAGCAGCAGCAACAACAACAACAACAACAAATGCAGCACATGCAACAGCAGCAGATACAGCAACAACAAATGCAGCAGCAGCAACAATTACAACAGCAAATGCAACAGCAACAAATACAGCAACAGCAGCAGATGCAGCAACAGCAACAGATGCAACAGATGCAAATGCAGGGTCTCCCAAATGCTCAAGGACAGCAGGGGATGACGGGGCCGCAGACTTCTGGTCAAAGCCAGCCTCAGATGCACCCTCATCAGCTGCAGCAACAGCAGCAGCATCAGCAACAACAGCAGCAGCAACAACAACAACAACAACAGCAGCAGCAACAACAACAACAACAGCAGCAGCAACAACAGCAGCAGCAAACTCAACAGCCACACCTGCAACAACAGGTATATTTCATATCATATACTTAAATGACTGTGTGTTCTATCAAAGCAATGGTTAACTGTTTATTTATTTGTACTTTTCAAATACTTTCATTTTTAGCAACAACAGCAGATGTTGATGATGCTGAAGATGCAGCAGGAGCAGGCAAAGAATCGTATGTCCATCCCTCCAGGGGGGCAGCTCCCGCCGAGGGGCATGGGCAATCCACCAGAGGTGCAGAGGCTTCCTGTCTCACAGCAAGGCAACATGCCTGTAATGATCAGTCTTCAAGGACATGGAGGAGTACCCCCGTCACCTGATAAAGCCAGAGGGATGCCCCTGATGGTGAACCCACAGGTGAGAGCCATGTTAACACAATATTGACAATCATATGGCATGATTTGGGTTTAACTTGTGAGTGTGCTGTTTATTTATTTTCTTTGGAGTAAGCTGTACATGTTTGTGTCTGTTCTCCTTTCCAGCTCACAGGCGCTGCACGAAGAATGTCCCATCCTGATGCAGGACAGGGTCCTCAAGGCTCCGGTTCTGAAGAGCCCATTGCAGGGGCCCACATTAAGCAGGACAGGCCTACTGGCCAAGAAATTGGGGTGCAGCCTGGAAATGGAACCCAACAGATGATGGCCAATCAGGGCTCTAACACTCACATGATGAAGCAAGGCCCTGGTCCATCAACAATGCCCCAGCACACTGTAGCCAGTCCCCAGCAACAGTTACCCAGTCAGCCTCAGCAAGCAGGCCCCATGCCTGGCCTTCATTTCCCAAATGTCCCCACAACCTCCCAGAGCTCTAGGCCCAAAACCCCAAACAGAGCCAGCCCCAGGCCCTACCACCATCCTCTCACCCCAACAAATCGTCCACCCAGTACTGAGCCCTCCGAAATCAACCTTTCACCTGAGAGGCTAAATGCCTCTATTGCAGGGCTTTTTCCTCCCAAAATCAACATTCCTCTGCCTCCCAGGCAGCCTAACCTTAACCGGGGATTTGATCAGCAAGGTCTTAACCCAACAACTCTGAAAGCCATTGGGCAGGCCCCTCCTGGCTTAACTTTACCAGGTAACAACAACAATGGCAGTATGGGTGGAAATAACACTAACAACAGTCAACAGCCCTTCTCTACTGGCACTGGAATGGGAGGTGCAGGCACTAAACAGGACAAGCAGCCTGGAGGACAGGGCAAGAGAGCAAGTCCTAGCAATAGTCGGAGGTCGAGTCCAGCCTCTAGTCGTAAATCAGCCACCCCAAGTCCAGGGAGACAAAAGGGGACAAAGATGGCCATCACCTGCCCTCCCCCCCAGCAGCAGTTGGTCAACCCTCAGGGGCAAACGATGATGCTAAGCCCATCATCAGTACCCCCAAGTCCAGTATCTATGCATTCACAAGTTAGTGGGTCCACGGAGGCACAACAAACCCAGAGTCCTTTTCACGGGATGCAAGGTAACCCTGCTGAGGGAGTCAGGGAAAGTCAGGGAATGGTGGCAGCGGAGCAGCGGCAATTGCCTCAGCCTCACCCCCAACCACAGCCTTTGAGGGAGTTATCAGCTCCCAGAATGGCAAGCCCTCGTTTCCCCATGCCTCAGCAGCCTAAACCTGACCCGGAACATCAGGGTGGCACAGTTGATAGGCAACCAGCACACACAGCACCCAATATGCAGGACTCCCAGGTCTCGCCTACTCTCAAGGCAGGGCCAACGTCCCTCAACCAGTTACTTGATAACTCGGGTATTCCAATCATGCCTCTTCGGCCCATACAGAGTAACACTGTTAGGGATTTAATGGGAAAGGACAGCCCTAAGTCTGCTTTGGATCCACGGCGACCAGTCTACAGTAACTCCCAGAGTACAGAAATGTCAGCTGCTGTTAGTACTTCTGCCACTATAAATGAATTGGCAGCTAAACCAAAACCTACTGTTCCTATTTCTACCAGCAGTCCTAATTTGCAGGCTACTTCAATTCCCATCTCCCACCCTAGCACTAACGTGACCTCTAATACTACCCCTAGCCTTAGCCAAAACCCTATCTCCAGTCCCGGTGTCAATCCCAGTCCGAATGTAAAGCCAACCCCTTCCTTCTGCCCCACCCTTAGTACTAACACTAATGCCACCATGAGTTTAAGCCCCAACACAGTCACTTCAGGCCAGAGCAGTCCTGCCTCGACGGTTAGTACCAGTTCTAACTCCAGCGTGGCTCAAAAACCAAGCCCTAGTCCCAAACCAGGGACAAGTGTTCAATCGGTCATACAGATCCCAGCCTCTTCTAGCACAATGTCCCCAAACCAGATAACCGTGTTTGTGACCTCTAACCCCATGACCTCTGCCCCCACTCCCCAGGCACCCACAACTATGGTCTCCACCATGGTGGCTGTCCCTAACAAGAACATTAGACCTCAAGACATCCGGCAGCAGGCCCCGGTCCCCCGACCACAGTTTATCACCACCACCCCTGTATTTATCAACCCAATTTTCCAGGTCCCAGGTGGATCTGTGGCTCCCAATACAACAATGGTACCACAGCCGCTCACCATGGTGAGGCCTATCCAAGTGTCCACTACAAACATCCAACTTTCAACTGCTCTGACCTCTACCCAGTCCTCAGGGGCTAACATGGGCAGCACTCAGCCTACCAGAAGTATTGTAGGACAGGTACAGGTTGCCACTAGTGTGTCCTCATCAGTCCCAGTTGGTACTCCCCCAGCTTCTCATCAAATTAACCCAGGGCCTCCAAAACCAGAGAATCTAAGTGAGGCCGGTTCCGATCATAAACCTAGTCCCCCAGTGAAGCAGCCATCTCCCAATCCAAGCCCTTCAGCATCATCTCCCTTTCAGCCACCCCTGGCTTCTCCTCCTCTTTGCTCTAGTCCTGGGGCTGCTAACAACATCCGAAAGAGCCCCATGTCACCGTCTCCCACTGCCCTGGGGAAAAGTAAACCTGCACAGGTTGCTGCAGCTGTTTCTGGTACAGCTGAATCGCAGCTAAGTCCCGTAGAAAGGTCTGCACAGGGGCCCTCCGGAGCTGTGCAACCACAGACCCTTCATGTTCCTGCTATTCCTGCCACTAAAATTGAAGCACCAAATCCCCATAGTACTGTCGCTGCTTCTAACAACATGACACCGCCTGCTGTCTCCTCTCCAATCCCAGTTCCTGCACATGTGGCTGTTCCCACTCAGATTGTTACCCAGGCTCCAGTGACTGCCACAGCTTCAGTTTCAAGCAAGGCCCAGGAGGTTGCATCTCAAGCTGCTATTGTCACGATAGTCAGTGCTAACACAGGTACCTTGCTCTCTGCGGTTGCCCCCGTGCAAAGTCCTGTACCGTCCATTGTTCCAATTGTTGCTGGATCTGTACCTGCTATGGAGGTTGCCCCCACCACATCCCTTTCAGTTGCTAACCCCAGCGGACTTCCACAAGTGCAGCCTGATGCAGCTGTGGAGCCCCCCATGCCACCTGCTGCTGAATTTGTTGAAACCACTCAGACCACCCCAGGTAAATGCACAACTTTCAAGCTAACAGGAAAATTGCCATATTCTGGCCGTGATCCTTGCTCAGGTCAAGCAAGTGCCATACAAACTAAAGTATAAAGTGTTGCTTTGTGCGATGGCTCACAGGTGGTAATAGTTGAGGAGAGACGGTTAAACTTATATTAATAGAGTTGACAAAATGTGAAATTCTTTACTGAACTAAAACTGGATCTTGACTTTGATCAATTTAATTCAAACTGAAACTGTTTTTGAAGAGGGATCCTTTAGGTAGTTATGAATCAGATGTTACTTTGTTGTATTAGTTTCTGTATTGTATTGTTTTGTTTTATCACTATTTTGATGAGCTCTGTGGATTAATGTAATGTATTTTTGAGTTTCTGTCTTGTGTATTTGTTGTTGTGTGTATGTATTTCAAAGGCCCATCTAGGGCATTACAAATGAGCTTAGACTATAAATGTTGTGTTGTGTATGGCATTGGTTTATGTTATAGTACGTACCTGTGCAAGTAAACATTAAACTTACATAGCCAATCTCTATCTAGTTTAAGTTGAGTACATATTAAAATGTGAGTTGAACTATTTAATATTTTTTCCCAGCACCTATTCAACAAGAAGTCTCACAGTCTCAGGAACCTGTCGCCAGTGAGAAGACTGGTGAGTGTGGTCATCTTTGTTTTAAGTTGTTGTTAAAACATGCTTGTTTATAGAATATAACTACTTTATAGTAAACCATATGCATCTCTTGGGACTACATGACATATAATTAACAGTTTTCTTTGTCCTGTTCAGGTGAAGAGGTCTCGACAAGTGCTGAGCAGGGGTAAGGCTCCTCATAACATTTGGATTATTTGAACTGCTGTTTGTTGCTTAGCTGCAAAATGCTGAGAGTGTTCGGGGCTATTAAGCTTTCCCTTACTCTGATCTCTGAAAGTTGGACTTGGAGAAATGCTTAGACATTTCTAACTCTACTGAAACTCAGGGAGTTCATTTGGTTGGCCAAGAGGTACATGGCGAAAACAATGAGCCACGTGGCACTTGGTATGTATGATTGGCATGCAACAATATAAATATACTTATGCATGTCCGAAGTTAAAGCAAAAAACAGCCAAATCACAAAGGAAATGGCACCGCTCAAATGACCTTTTTAGCCACATCTCTTTTCCTGGGGTTTTTCATATGATGGTGGGGGAAGTGAAGCCATGTTTGTTCAGCACAGTTTATAGATTACCGCTGTTTTTCCACTTCTATCACAGATGGGCAAAGAAAAGAAAGACGCCCATCAACTTAGTCCCAAGGTATGTATTTTAACATGTTTGCGCTGCAAAGACAAGCAGTGATCATGTCGACGTAGTGGAAGCTGTCGGGATGAAGATGGACAGTATCTGTGGTAGACGAGGAAAAACAGCAGAGTCCTGAGTGGTATTATTCCTTTCTCTGAGTAGAGCAGAGTTAACGCACACCCATGCATCTTTAGTAACAAACCCTTGTGTTGTTCTTCCTTTCCCTGTCGTTGTTTTTCTATCTGGTCCTCCCAGGGTTGCTGTGGAGAAGCCCAAGGGACCGAGCAGACGTAGCTCCCGGGCAGAGAAGGAGGTGGAGGAGGAGCCAGTAGCAGACAGCGGCATTAGGAAGAGATCAGCCAGGCCTGGAACCAGTGCTGCTGTGAAAGGTAACTTAACCACTCATGCAGCTTTAAAATAATATATATCATTACGCCTAAGCTTCACACAACTAAGCTACTACCTGTACCTAATATACTTTTATACTTTCTTTTTTTTTTTTAAACAGAAACTGGAGCGAGCCCCACCCAGGCAAAACGAAGGAAGTCTAAATAGACTGCAGTGATGGAAACCTGTGAACTGTACTGTAAATGTTTTTGTTTCCGCTGTGAATCAGTTGATATTGGTTTCTCTGTCCCGGTTTATGAATGGAGGAAGAAACCATGTACAGATTGTTTTAAAAATAATTATGCTATTGTGTTGTCCATGCTATCATGTGAGATTGTAGTTAGAATGTGTGCAATACAGTATGTGTTTGTGTGAATGTGCTTTTTATATTAAATGCTGGATTAATCATGTGAAGACTGATGACGGAGCTTGTCATGATTGTATAATTATGTTGTAAAACTGAATTAAATTTTCTACTGCTTTTTTGTTCTGTGAAAGTGTGTAAAATGATTCATGCATTGTCCTAACGATTACCGATCATTTTGTGGTCAGTCTCAGTTTGCTCATTCCTACCAGAACTGCGTTAAAGGAGGCAGAGTGTGATGTAAACACTCAATACCTTTAGGTGAAAAGAAGTTAAAGCCCTGATAGAATATGATGCTCTAAGACATATTTTCCCTGTACGAATGTCATAAAATGGTGACTGAATTGAAAAGAAAATATAACCACATTGACGTACCTTGACATTTTGAGTGTGATTCAGGTAGGGAGCAGAATTTTCTCGGTGTGCGCATGCGCATTCAGTAAACATTGGGACTCCATTCCAGTGTGTCAGTGAGGGTTCCCCGAGCCTCGCATCCTTAACAGCTGTCTACCGAGATAACTTCACCTGCTCTACAAACAAAAACAACCTGACCATGAGCGGAGATCATGGACATGGAGACTCTCAGGTATCTTTTGCTTATTTACCCTTTTTTTTTAATGTCAATTTGTGTTAATTCCTTTGTAATATCTCAGTGTATTAATCGTCATGATATTAAATAATGGTTAAGAAACGTTAGTTTGCGTAGTAAGTTGTGCCGCTTTCTTTGTTCTTTTAATGAACACTTTGAAATTATGTGCAGTATTTGTGGGCCTATGTTACTGTAGTTGAATGCATGCATTTCTAGGGTAAATGTCAATACCAATTGAAACTTGAATAACCGTGCTACCGGCATTTTCAAAATTGAAATATTAAAATCATATTTTTTCACAACTTTCAGGTGAATTCTGGATCCAAAGGAAGCGGTAGGTCCTCTGTATAGGATTTGTATTCATAGTGTGTCTTATTTCCAGTCGGAATCGTGATCTGTCTACTGTTAGTTTTTAAAGCACAGAAATGGCGTCCCAGAGACTAAGTCCCTTCTCCTCCACTCTCTTGCGGCTATTGTTCAAAAAGAGGGTCTAAAATGTACACTTCCGGCCCTCTGTTTTTTAACCTGCTGGGGTATTCTCAAAGGACCTGGCATCGTGTTTATTTTGCATGCTTCAGTTTGATAAACTGTACGTGCATTTATAACGCATTTTGGAGCCGAAAGTAGCAGAATTGTGGCTGAGGACTTAGTCTCTGCGCCATTTTCTTTTTCTGGATGTAACAGCCAGGGCGCCGACCACAGAGCCAACTGTCTGCCGTGATATGGAGGCGAGAGGCGGGCGCTTATCGCCTCACCCTGGCCGTATCTCTCCACCAGCTGCACTCCCTGCTAGAGACATTTATCTGCACTACCAACAGGGAATCCTCATACATGAGCATAAAATGTCAGGTCACAGAAAATAAAGTTGCACTACATTATTAAAAGCATATGCCTTCAGCAGTCAGTTTTGCAAAAATGTGCCTCAACACAAGAGTATCTGATACTCCTGCAGAGTTGAGATCACTTTTCTTGTGTTTTAATTTCCTGTCTGATGATATGATGGGAAGCAAAAGCAGTCTATGGGAATTGATTGGGTTTATAATTGCGATGTGTAGCCTATTACAATTTCCTATAGCAGATAATAATACCCTTATTAAACTGCCATGACAACAGGGCGCCACGAGGTGATGATCAAGCCAAAACGGGTCTACCTCGGGAGGAATTTCACTCAGCAGGATACATTTTATTATGAAGGCTAAACAATAATTGTTACAGCAGAATCACATGACTTGCTGCCCTGAACAAATATCCTATACTGTTAGAGGGGAAGAAGTCCTTTTGTGTGAAGGAAATAGCATATCCAACATCACATCACAGGTGTGGCCTGGAGGTTGAACCTTAGGGTCAGCTACAGCAGGTGTGTTAGCCATGATCCTCAAATAAATGCAAGGCACATTTCAATGGATATTAGGATATACACATGGCTAAATGTTTTTTATTCAGATTTTCTTTGTATGCTGCTAAATAAGTTGATCTCTCCTTGGTATCACAGACTCCCATAAACATAAAGACAAGGAACACAGACACAAAGACCACAAGAGAGACAAGGAGAGAGAGAAACTCAAGCACGGCAACAGGTAGGGTATTTTCCTCTCGAGTTGAGGTTTTCTGATATAAAACTGACCAATGGAGGTTTTAACAGCCCCTGAAATTATAGGCTATCAGTGTTACCTCGACCCCTCACATGTACATATCCTCCAGTATACATTATGATACCAGCTGATGGTTTTCTCTATCATATCTAAAAATGTTATCTTTTCAACAAGAACATTTTATGGAACGTCAAAGAACCCTGCCATGTTAAATAAGCAAACATATCACAAAGACTCAATGAAATCCACTTTTATGAATGCATTTGTAATCTGAACCCTTATGGGACGGTGGTTGTGCTTACTTTTTTTGTGGATGAAATACTTTCAGGCTGTAGGATGTGTCACAAATTGGGCCAATCTCACCCTCTGTTGTCTACGAGAGTCTTATTGTTTGCTAAATGTTTTTAATACTGGTAGTTAGTGACAACTTTTGTGTCTGCGCATCTGGACCACGTCTGACCTCTTGCACTTGATCTCTGACCTTTGGTGGCTTCTTTCTCTAGCGAACATAAGGACCACTCTGAAAAGAAACACAAAGACAAGGAGAAGCTGAAGCACAGCAACGGCAGCTCAGAGAAGCACAGGGAAAAACACAAAGAGAAAGACAAGGACAAAGAGAAGAGGAGAGAAGAGAAGGTTTGTTGTCAGTCTGCCGCTTATAAAATGATGTAGGGACCTTAAGTCCAAATATGTTTTTTTCTCATTACAACATCATTATTATTTTGTTAAATTAGGTTAACAAGTTTTGTTTTTTCATGATCATTAAAAAGGTCAACACCAATGGCCTCTGTAACTCCAGCAAAAGTGACGACAGTCTGAACATTGTTTAAAGGTTTGACAGTTTGTTTAAATTACATTTGCTAATTTATCTTTCTCTGTTTCTTACAGATTAAATCATCCCATGTAGACAAGCCTAAAAAGGAGAAAGAAAATGGATATGTGAGGTAAAAATGCATTGCGTTTTCTCTGACTGATGTACAATTAAATTAGTTGGTTATGATTAATACAATATTACTTTACTAAATTGCATTTCAATGTGTGACTTAGAGATACAAGCCCTGCTGCCATTAAGAGTGAGCCCGAAGAGGACAATGGCTTCTACCCTTCTCCCCAACACAAGACCTCCAAGCGAGAGCATGATGATGAAGAGTGGGTATCATACAAATTAAATTATAATCTGTCACTTTCTTATTGAAATGTAAGGCATAGTAAGATTATCAATACATCTGTTCACAGATTTGAATACAAGCCCAAACAAGTCAAGACAGAGCATGACAACAAGGCCAAGAAGAGGAAACATGAGTATGAAGAAGAGGAGGAGGAGGAAGAGGAGGTTCATTACATTTTTCATTACTATCTTTAATGAATATATTCTCATGTGTATCTGCCGTTCTTGTTCTCCAGAGTTATTCTGTTTTCTGCACTTGATCTAGGACATAAAGCCCAAAAAGAAGACAAAAGACAAAAAGGTAACCGAGGGAAAGAAAGCCAAAAAAGAAGAAGAGGAGAAGTGGAAATGGTAAGATAATGTCAGGGAACAATAGTTATTTTTCTCAGGAAATCACACACGGGTAGTTATAAACAGCAAGTAGATACCATATTTGTGTTTTCCCTCATGGGTTGCACTTTGTTGTTGTTGGTGGTGATTAGGTGGGAGGAGGAAAGATCTACTGATGGCTCTAAGTGGCGCTTCCTTGAGCACAAGGGTCCAGTGTTTGCAGCTCCGTATGAACCCATGCCTGACAAAGTCAAGTTTTACTACGATGGTGAGTATATCTTGGTAAAAAAAAACGGGTCATGTTTTTGTTTCTTTTTCATTTTACACCACAATGTGATTGTTCTGTTTTTGTAGGAAAACCTATGAAACTTAATGCTCCTGCTAAGGAGGTGGCTACATTTTTTGCTAAGATGTTGGATCATGAGTACACCACTAAGGATATCTTCAGGAAGAACTTTCTCAAGGACTGGAGGAAGGTGAGGAGATAAGACTCAAGCTTTGCTATTAAAGTGTCCCGAGCAAGAGCCTAAAGAGGGTACAAAGTTGAAGTATTTATGTTATACATGCCTCAGGTGACTCTTTACATTTAAGGAAATGACATCTGAGGAGAAGTCCAAGATAACCGACCTGAACAAGTGCAAATTCAGTGAGATGAGTGAGTTCTTCAAGGCCCAATCCGAAGCAAGGAAACAGATGTCAAAACAGGAGAAACTGGTATGCCTGGATTCATTCCTTTAACCCTGAAAACATTCTGCAATCTTTTGTTGTATTTTAATGTTGCCATACAATTTGTAGAAAATCAAAGAGGAGAATGAGAGACTCCTCCAGGAGTATGGTTTCTGTGTCATGGACAACCACAAAGAGAGGATCGGAAACTTCCGCATCGAGCCACCAGGCCTGTTCCGGGGACGAGGCGATCATCCTAAAATGGGCAGGCTGAAACTACGCATCAGACCTCAAGACATAATTATTAACTGTAGCAAGTGGGTAATCTGACCAACACTGTTACCACAACATTCACTGCCATGGACCTTTACATTTTAAGCCAAATCCCAAAGCCCACACAGGCTTTGATGCACTTTGATGTAACGTTCCTGGTGCCACTGCTACGTGCTTGAGTGAGCT